TCAACCTTGGGAAACGGTATAATTTCAACCTTGGGAAACGGTATACTTTCAACCTTGGGAAACGGTATAATTTCAACCTTGGAAAACGGTATACTTTCAACCTTGGGAAACGGTATAATTTCAACCTTGGGAAACGGTATAATTTCAACCTTGGGAAACGGTATAATTTCAACCTTGGGAAACGGTATAATTTCAACCTTGGGAAACGGTATACTTTCAACCTTGGGAAACGGTATAATTTCAACCTTGGGAAACGGTATACTTTCAACCTTGGGAAACGGTATAATTTCAACCTTGGGAAACGGTATACTTTCAACCTTGGGAAACGGTATAATTTCAACCTTGGAAAACGGTATAATTTCAACCTTGGGAAACGGTATACTTTCAACCTTGGGAAACGGTATAATTTCAATCTTGGGAAACGGTATAATTTCAACCTTGGGAAACGGTATAATTTCAACCTTGGGAAACGGTATAATTTCAACCTTGGGAAACGGTATACTTTCAACCTTGGGAAACGGTATACTTTCAACCTTGGGAAACGGTATAATTTATTAAGGACCATGGAAAGGAAAGGATTAACCTTGGAAAACATTTACTTTACTTTCAGTTTCAAAAAATTGAGTCTTGCAAATCAGCCACTAATGATAACCCGCTCGGCCAAAGCCTGACTTATTTAACATTTTTCGGACGAAATTTTTATCAACGCCTCTATTTTTCTCTACTCCAATCTACCATCTTCGGCGGAGATCTTTCATCCAAGAAAATCAATTTTTTTTTTGTAAAAACATTTTCAAATAATTAGGAAAAACCATGCTTTTTCTAAAGCTACTAAAAGTTGCTTAAAATAAATCAAACCCTGTGAAACAATTTTGCTAAAAGTCGACATGGCAATAAAATTATTAATTAAATTTATTTCCATAGCACAGTTGTTTACTGCAGAAACAGAAAAACTAGTAAACCACAAATTGTAGTAATTTTTATTTTAATAATCTGGCATAATTCAACTCGATATTGTTCAAGTACTTTTTATTGATTTAAACTAATTCCAAAATCCACGGAAATTTTTAAAACACCCGGTAACTGTCGCTTTATAATACGTACCCTACGCGTCATTATAATCGGTAACATAAATATTAAACGTGTACCTAGACTGAGCTGGCTTGCCTGTAATTTTAACATCTGTTCCCAACTTATATTTTGAAATAAACTGTCTGGAGTTATGCCCATAGAAATTTCCTGTAAATTAACCCGGGCTGTTCAATAAACCCATATCGGTTGATTAATGTTTATTTTCGTAGGCACACTCTTTCTTTCTCATAAAATAAAGTTTACGTTGTGTCTTTTGTCAATGGAATTCTTAACAAAACAAGAATCAATCGTGTGACCTGACTTTAAACAAAAGTTACTTTTATTACTTTTAAGAGAGTTATTTTTTGTTATGGTTTCGTTCTGAGTTTGGTTAACTGACTTAAAAAATGAATTATTTTTTAATGGCTTATCTCGCTTGAAATGCTGCGAGACATTACGTAAAGGACAGTGGCGTTTCTGATGCCCTATACGCCCGCATTTAAAGCAAGATACCTAAATTTGATTTGAATTGTTCTGATTTTTCCAGGTGCTGAAAGCGATTGATTTTTTTCAGAACTAGAATTAGAAATATTTGTCACAGCTAAGGGTTTCGTGACAGTACCCAAATAGGAAATAAGATCTGAAATCAAATCAAAATTTCGCATACTTACAGACTCTTTGTACTTTAGTATCATGAATACCATAAACAATCAATTAGGTCAGAACACGTAAATTTTTTAACAAAGCCAAAACTTCTTGTGAACATAAGCTACATAAGAACTAAAGAGTGAGCTGTCAAAAGAAGAGATTACAATTTTCTCTATTAAAATTATTCTTACAAGTTCAAATTTAAAATTACATTTTTTTTTTTTCAATAAAGCCATCCTTTTTTTATGCACGTAAGCTGTATAAGATTTACAAAGTGAGCTGTCAAAATAAGAAACTACCATTTTCTGTGTGAAAATGACTCTTGAAAGTTCAAATTTAAAATTAAACCAATCTCTTAATGTTGGAGACCAATTCTCAAACCATATATTTTTTTTAGCATCGCCCAGTAAAAAGCGTTTAACTCTTACCTGTATCTGCAGGTCTTACCACTCAAATTTCTCTTTATCTTTTCGAACTGTTGTAACCAAACCTTAGAATTGTCGGTATCTAACCAAAATAAGAGCAAATCAACTTGTTCTGGAGTTGTCCTGCTGTTATTGGAACTGTGCAACATCTCTGCGATGAAATCATCCATGATACAGGAGTTGTTCTGCTGTTTTTGGAACCATTCAACATATCTGCGATGAAATCATCCATGATACAGGAGTTGTTCTGCTGTTTTTGGAACTGTGCAACATCTCTGCGATGAAATCATCTTTGATACACTTGTTTTAGTCTGTGTGTAACGTGAACACTATCCTACTTCTAATTTAAGATTTAATTGATCGTTTTTGTTTTAATAATTATTAGTTTATATTTTATTCAAGCCACTGGATTTTTTTTTTAATAAAATAATACGTCTTTTATTCAAATATAAACATTCACCAAATTAAACACTTAATCACTTCTTATAAAATGTATTAATACCCAAAAAGTTATTAACAATCGTTATTAATCAAAATTTAGAGAGCGTCGAACGTGTGCATATGAACCCACGTCGATCATAAGTATCTTTTTGATTTTTCGGTCTTCTACTCGCCGAGTGCGTATGTGTGTGTATCCAAGATCCAAGTATCGCTTAGGCAGTGGCGGCGTCTTGAATATTGCACGAATCTAACAATATTGATTTCCTTTATTACTCAACGATTTTATAACATAAACTTCGAAATTATAGAACATAGAAGTGAGCAGAGTGCAAACAATGAATCAGAAATTTACGTTCAAAGAAATGTGACAGTAAATAAGCAGAATAGTGTTAGCGAAAATAAATTTGAATTTCTCAGTTCATTTTCTACATATTAGAGGTACAGGAAATTGGTTCAATATTACATGCATATAGAAATTTATTATATCAATTATATTGATTTCCTCTTGCTCAACGATTTTATATCATAAATTTAGAATTTATAGAACATAGCAGAAGTAAGCAGACTGCAAATAATGGACAAGAAATTTAAGTTTAGAGAAATGTTTGACTTTAAATAAGCAGAATATAGGATATTGAGTGTGTCTCATAGCAAATGTTTTAGAAAATAGTAAATATCTTGAATGCAGTTGCTCTCAGAAAGTATTTGAATCAATTTGATATACTCATTTATGGTTGTAACTGTTACCAATTATTTGTTATATATTATTATATAGCTTTTAACATCATTATGTCAATATTGCTATATTTTAAACCCTAACCCTACATTTTAAACCATAACAGTATAGTGGCCGAATAGCATGTAGTCAGGCTGGTAATTGGGTCAGAATTTACCTCATTAATAGCCAGTATATTTCGTTATTGATTGAATAACTATTGATCTGATAAAGTTATGTGTACAAAACTATTTAAAAAGGTACACGCCATAGATAGTATTGCTGAAAACCATGGACATAGATACTTCTTCCTCCCTGTTTTGTATTTTTAATTCTATCCAGTTAATTTTGTGCAACTGAAACAAAACAGGCCTAAGAATACATTTCCAAAATTCAACAAGGTAACTGATATAATTAAAGAAGAATATCTAATATTACCAAAGAATAATGAAGAATGTTACATGAAGATTTCACACTTTCATATTAATGGTAAACACAACTATATTATTGATTTAAATGAATTGGTATACCACCCCTTTAATAGTGAACAGAAAGCATTTCATTTAATTTCTACAAGTTACATACCTACTGTGTGTATGTTTCTTGTGTAATTTTTGTTACTGTATAATATTGTTTGCAACAAAAATGACAATTTAAAATAACGTGTATATCCAGATCAGTAAGTGAAAGCGAGGGTCGAGGGTTAGATGTTATTTTTTTTTAATTTCGTCGTTAATTTTATTGCTTTTTTGAAGTTATTTTCTTGAATGTTATAAAAAACACTATGTTTTGCAGAACCCTTGAGTGATGTCCAACTAATTTTAAATCCTAGATTGACGCCTACTGTAGAAATGCGGATACCTTTAAACTGGCTCTCAATTAAAGACATGTTAGACATGTTCCTTTACCAGCATTACTGTTTATCTCCAAAATAAAATTATTTATAACCGTCATGTTCACATCCATAATACAAGACTTACAAATGATTTTTTAATGACTTTTCAGAAGATCTAAATAAATTAAAATCAATTAATGTTTTCAAACGTAAACTAAAACCATATTTGTTAGATGTAAGTAGGTAATTTAGGTATTAAGGTATTTTTTAATATTATTATTCTGTGCGTTGTTTAATTATATTTTATTTTATATTAATAACTTATTTTAGTTAGATATATATTTTTAGTGAGAAAGTGAATTGACTATGTATTAGTTGTTTTTGACTAAATAAAGGATTTATATATATTAGTGTGCAGCGTTTTAAGACTAACTATACAAAAAACTTATTAAACTCTAATTAGACGCATCTCGTCTAACAATAAACTAATTCGGTAAAGCACTAATCATATATAAAACTCACACTCGCGTCTTATTATGAATTTGTGATATTAGTATTATTTTAGTTATTAAATTTAGGTTTGCATTTACCGTTTAAAAATAATTAGTAATTTAAGGTTTTCATAATAAAAAGTCCACCATCAGATGGAACTGGAAGTTATAGATGTAAGAAATGCTGGTTTAGAATATATAAGTTTTGCCACATATTAAAAAAAAAACACCCAGTATAAGAGTTCTACAAAAACGATGTGTTTTTTACTTACTCTATGCCTTTTTAACTAAGAACTACACTCGGAACAACTTATAAGTCATTTTATAAATCGATAATTGCTTTATTAACTTGAAATCTTTCTTTTTTGTTGCAGAGGTAACAAAAGCACAGGCTATTGGTAAAGTTCCTCTAAGGGAAAATAAATATGTCGACATTTATCGAGAAAAACCCATAAAAGTGACTATTAAGGTTTTGGTACCTGTAAGAGAACATCCGAAGGTAATACAACTCAAAATGAAATAAACAATTTTTTTTTAATATCTGTAATTTCCAGTTTAATTTTGTTGGAAAACTGCTGGGACCTAAAGGGAACTCTATGAAACGTCTTCAAGAGGAAACTATGTGCAAAATGGCTGTTTTAGGCAGAGGTTCAATGAAGGATAGAAATAAAGAAGAAGAATTAAGAAATTCTTTAGACCCCAAATATAGGTATGTATATTTTTTATTTCGAAATATTGAGAAAAGGATGGTCATTTTTAAAATATATTTTTTTAGCCATTTAACAGATGATTTGCATGTAGAAATCTCAGCTCTTGGACCACCAGCTGAAGCTCATGCTAGAGTGGCATTTGCTTTAGCTGAAGTAAGGAAGTACCTTATACCCGACAGTAACGATCACATTAGATTAGAGCAAATGAGAGAGATGGAAAGTGAAAGAGACCGGGATCATCCTGGACATCCCGGTGGACATCCTGGACACCCCGGCGGGCATCCCGGAGGACATCCTGGTCCATTGGGAGAAGAAAGAGGAGAACCTAAATCAAGAAGGCCTGTATCAACTATGCCAAGGCGTAAGTAAACAACAAAATATGGATATTAGAATCTATCATTTTTACAAAGTCTATGAGTAAAAAAAATATAATTAAAAAATAATCCAACCAGACTTGATGTTGAACTTGTTTTGCTTTTTTCAATCATCTATAGACACACATTATCCATGCAAAATGCTGTTTTATCTGTGTTTACATTTTCTACACCTTATTTAATTTATTTAAAAATAATTGTGATGCATAGATAGGATTCCCCACTCCGACCATTTACTGTTGGATTCTAATTAACAGTGCTGTTACTAAAGTGGTGATGGGAAACAGTAACAAGGCCTGTCTGTAGTGGTGCAGGAGGATTACAGTACTAGCACTCCTGCACTATGTAGTATTAGACTACTAGTACAGTCCACAATTTACATAAAACACGAGGTTAATGACCTAAGTTATCGAATCCAAAAACACCAATAAAAAAAATGCACCACATTCAAATAGTTAATACCATCTATAAAACACTGCTACTTGGTGCGCCATTCCCAAAGATTGATTGAAATTCTTAGCATTGTTCCAGAGCCAGATTACATTTGAAATAATAAAAAATTAATTGTTAAAAACTTCTGGACAGAACGTTACTAAATTAACCAAATATGATAATTTTTTTTGCCAGCAAAAAATCACCACAGTACATTTTTATAAATTCTAAATCTCAATACTTTTTTAGATAGAAATCATAATTTTAATAAATATATGGGTTGTCTTTTTAATTTTGGATATAGAGCTGGAAGAAAACAGTAGATAGACTTTTATTGTTTTTCAAAATATTCACTACATGAAGATTAAAGCACTTTTGCATTCTTTCGAACAAACTCTGGAAGCAGTTATTCCACTCCTTTGTTAGTATTGTCAAAATTGTGTATGTGCTTCATCCTCAACATTTTCTAAAATATGACTCTGGGGTTCAGTATAGTTGAACTGGATGTACTATTTAATAAAATTGGCACAGCATTTGCAATTAGTCATTTAAGGCAATTATCTAAAGTTAAATTTAAATTCTTAAACCAGTTCTCACAAATTTTAACATCAGAAGGAAAATAAAAAAAAAGGTTTTATTTGAATAACCAGCTTGCTGAACATTAGAATACTTATTTAAAGAATAGGAGCTGAACAATAATACTCAGCTTTACCCTTCAATGCTTTACCTGGACCAGACATGTTTTGTTATTGTTACAAATATATTAAAAAAGAATTGAAAATAGATTCAAAATGAAATTACCTATTATTTCATTAAGGCTAAGAAAAAAATGATAAACAAAGTCCTTAAACAAATCTAACTCCTTATATTAAATTAAATTGTTAATACTTACTAATTACATCAAATCAGAACTTATCAATCTTCTGAACCTAAAAATAAATTGCCTACTTATGTAATTTACGTCATAAAATAACTTTTATTTTTTATTTTATGGTAATTTGCCCATTTTGCCTTCCACCATTCCGTTTTTCATTTTTACGAAGTTTTCAACACAGTTATCAAACCTATCTTTAAAATATCCTAGCAATAGTATGCCATTGTAAGAATGGTATTGAACTTTACAAAAAACAAAACAAGGTGTTTGAAATAACTATAATTTCATGAAAGTTTATGGAAACTGACATCGCTTTCGTCTTATTGCGGTGATGGCTCCAAATAGTATGATGAGGAACTAACACTTGGTACCAGTGCCGTGCATTTAAACGGTTTATCTTACATATTATTTTATCTATTGACTGTACCGGAAATGATCTAACAATTCGATATTTTCTTGCTCTAAAAATTCCATTGTCTTGGTGGAGGATGATTCGTCTTTCGGTGGTTGGTTTTTCGAAGCCCAGTGATTACTTTGGCAGAAAACAAATGGTTTTACACTAATTGGCATTAATAGTTTGATCTTGCAGAGGGATTGTTGCTACTGCTTTTGAGACACATATTGTGACTAATCTTGTTGGATACCCTTCGAGAATGAATGAAAACATATTGGTGTTTATTGTCTGGTTCAAATGAGTAAATTCTCGATTCATCGCCACTGACGTTGCTGTACACGTTTCCTCTGTTGAATCAGTTTTTAGACACCAATTGATCATAGCTTCTTTCTGTTCTTCAGTCAAGATGCGATATCCTAATGTTTTTACATACAATAAATTCTTCATGCAATTTTTTTTTTGAATTGCCGTCTTTGAAATCCTCAATGATGCCTCAATAACGCGATATTTCACTTGTCGTTCTTCTGTAATGAGCGTGCACATCATTGACACCTTTTCCTGGATGACTGCTATTTTTGATGCACCTGTTGTTGAATCTTCGCTAAGACTTCGTCCACGTTTGAATCTCCATACCAACGAGAAATTGTCGACTGATGTGGTGCTTCATTGCTGAAAATAGAAACCCATCTCGGCAAGGTACTCTTGTTGAGATAATTTTCTTCAAAAGTTGTAAAAAATGAGTGAATATTTTCTCGATTTAATTCTATAGTTCGAATAACTTGTGAATTTTGACAGTTTGCAGTAGCTACAACACTATACCTCTCGCACTGAAACTTCGGATTTAGTTAACTAAATATAGATGTTCTTTTTTAATAGTGATCTTTGATTCAGGGCTAGGGATGGCAACAATAGGTTTGTTCCAACCCAACAGAAAACCGTACATTGTACGGTCATCGTCATGCGCAGTAAATAAAGTCCGTTCCATCCGAACATTGACGATTCATTGTACCGTCCGCTTAGCGTTCCAACCAAACATGGGACCGTTCGGGAATCGGTTTCTGTACAGTCCTTTCGATACCAAACTAAAAGTTGGTATCGCTTGGATTGACATGCGTACACTGTAACGAGCAAGGCCCGTCTGTTTTGTTTGGATTTGACGTTTAATGCTTGGTGGTGTTTTTAAATTAAATTATTTTCAGTTTTTCTGCTTAGTTATGTTTGTTCTTGTATAGTACATAATTTAATTATGTGTCATGAAGAAGGTGATGATTTTCTCTCAGACTTATCGTCTAGTGAAGACGATTTAGAACTTGCTCTAAATGAACATAGAGTTAAAAATGATAACTATTCAGGTAATTCCTACTTCTCGCCAACTGAAATTGTCAAACAGCATCGTTCGATACTGAAAGTGGTACATAAATTCGTTCCATCCCGGTAAAGTGTGATCCCATACACAAGACAGTGCCAGGTTAGCGTTTGCGCATAACAAGCTAGTTGAACGATCCCGTGTACCGTTTCGAAACAGTACAAAACTCTTGGTTGGAACAAACCTAATATATCGATATATAAATAAATTTATTGATATTTTTATATCTATATTCTGGGTTTCATATATCGAAAATATATATTGATATTTACTTAATAATATCGGAACGATTATGGTAAATTCAATACCCAGATTGTGCTGACCGATTTATTAGAGTGCAAAGTGCAAACTAAGGAAAAAAATAGTAAATGCCAGAGGTGCCATGTTTCTTTCGATTCCATATGTGTTTTCCACAGGTATTTCCTATCGTTTTAAATTTGAAAGGAACAGGTTTTTTCTGAACTTGTTTGTGGCGTTGACGTTGGGAGTTTTGGATTCTTTTGTGCTAGATTTTTGTGAACGAGATCTGTTCGATTCGTCCCCACCTTCAGATTATTCTTATGAAACAATTGATCAGAAATTTGACTTGTGGGCGCACCAAAGAAATATTGCACACAAAAAAAGCAAGAAGGATGTCTCGTTTGAGTGCTTTGATGAAATCAAATCAATATCTGTCTGTCCCTGTTTGTGATTTAAAAGAAAGTCCTTTTGAGAGATGAAATGGGGTTAGTTTGCTCTAAATAGTAAAAACTTTCCCAAAAGAGTAGAAATTGTCTGGAAAAATTATTATAAATTATTTATTTCTAAGTTCATTGCCACAAAAATAACAAATAACAAAGTTTGGTAAACTTATTTACGCATTTTTGTAAAGTGTTTTGTACTGTTATATATTTTTGATATAACTATTTTTTTACAGTATTTTGTTGTTCAGTTTGAAAAATTCGATACATCACTTTTATCAATATATTTATTTTGTCATCCCTATTCATGGCACCCTCTATATACTTGGTTAAATACAACTACAATGTATTATTTTTTGAATAAATATGAAGTGACAGGAATAAAAGTACCATTTCTGTGTATACATTATTGAGTAGTTGTTTTTTTAAAATCTGAGTATAGGAATTAAACATTTATTGTTTGTTTATTATTGATGGACTGGTTATTTTAAATGATTTAGAACAAATTTTGCAATTTCATACTGTTTCAAATGGTTACTGTTTTAAACCTGTGGCAAACAACTTAAAAAATGGGAACATTCCCCATTTTAAGGAATATGATTAAAATCTCGTACAATCAAATGAAGTGTTTTTGATTATATAAAATTCTTTTAGCACCGGCTCCTATTATTTCACATGCTCCTTCAGTTATGCGCACTGCAACCAGAGCACCTGTTGTGACTCCAAGAGTCATGCCTGCAAAAACTAAAATCATGTCAATACTTGATAGAGCACGTGTCGCCATGGAAGAAAGTTATGGTTATGAAGATGATAGTAACTATGGTTCTAATTCTCCAGCTTATGAATATTCAAGACCTAGTTATTCTTCAGGCTATCATGACGATTATGAAGGGGATTATTATAAGCCTTCCAGTTATGGTAAGTTAATAGATTAATATTAATGCTTATGTACAATAACTAACATTTTGAAATAGATTAAATTTTGTAAATGCTCTAGAATGTATTTGGTTAATGATCATAGTCTCAATTCAGAGTAATAATTTATTTTTAGTATATTATATGAAAATAAGTATTGTCAAATTCAAAAAATATTCTTCTGAATTGTTTCAATGATAAGGTATAATGATAATTTTAGATTTTGGAAAGGGATATGCTTGGTTTTGGAAATAATTTATTTGCAATATTTTAAATTGTAATCAACATTTTATAAACAATCATGTTTTCTTAGGATGGTAAATTTAAATATGCTTAAAATAAATCAGTATAATTAAATTTCGCGCTTTAATTTTTATTATATTAAAAATAATATCTAACAACGGTTAATAATATATTTAAAACAAATAATACTAATACTATTTTTAAAATTTATAAAAAAGATTCTAAAACACTAAAAAAACAAACTTTAAATTAACTACTCCAGGATAAATAAAATTAAAACACTAATTAAAAACATGTTAAGTACCAGTAAACATTTAATAAAAAGGCCAAAACAGTAAACCTAATATTTTTCTAATGTATTAAAATAAAATAAATGGTGCACATGATTTTTAAGTAAAACTTAACTCTTTGTCCCCTCTGATATTTAAATTTACTTATTTTTTTACTGGTACTCTAAAACTGTCTTAATAATAAAATTTTCTTTGCCGATAAATAATGGTCTTTTAAAACATCTTATGCACAGAACCGTCTACGTCTCGTGGTTGGAAGCCATCTCCATATCCGAAAGGAACTTCTAGCTCATCAGGTTCACATCAAGCTGAAAGTTCTCGTTATAGAACTTCTCCTTACACTCGCCCCATGATGAAATAAATTGTTTAATTTGGTTCAAGGTTCCCACTTTGTTTGCATGACGTTTCAGATTAGTTTTAAGGTTCTATGCATTTTTGCAGTTTTCATTACTTTTTTATTTAAAATGACATTTTTTTTGGCATTTCTGATATTATTAATGATCACAATTACAGGTTGTCAAAATAGGTTGATATATAATAATGGTTCCTAAACTAAAACATAGCCATGGAAATTAAATAATGTTAGTACATGCCGTAGTTTAATTTTTCCCCGCTTACGGCGCGCATGCGCGTAGCCATTGCCTTACCACTTACAGCGCCGTAAGCCTAGACAACGCGTTTTTATTATTTGGACTTGCCGTATAAAACTGAAATGATTAAACATTTTTAGTGGGAACCTTGTAAATGGGTTTTTATATTGAATCGTTTTGTAATCCTAGTAGTTTAACTAGATCTGTAAAATCAGTGTCACTATTCAGTTTAAATTACAAATTCTTAAACAAATAGTTTACTGCATACCTCTTTAAAAAGGTATTTTATTAAGATATTGTAATATTGTATGGTGACAAAATGTTGTGAATTAATGTATTTTCATTTCTGTATTCTTAGAATTTTGGAATACAAACTTTTGGGTTTTAAACTTTATTTAAAAATAAATGTCTTGCATCCAGGTAAGTGATTTTGGAACCCTTGACAAAATCAAATAATAGAAACTTAATTTTTAATTAATTTGAATCTATTAAACAGTAGTTTTAAAATCGTATCTAATTAATATAAATTAATATATCATCAGAAAATCTAAAAATTAATTGTTCATAAAAATAATTCATGTCAAATGAATAATTATTATTAATTTTTTTTTAGTCTAAAACATTGTGTAATCAAATTAACGTAATTTTAAAATCCAGGAGGGTGTAGCAACATTTTATTTGCTTCAGTTATAGCTTACTCCATATTAAATTAAATTTAAAAATAATTTAGATGTAGAACATAATATTGTAATATTAAAGGTGTTTCAATTTTTGAATAAACGTACATTAATGTCTTTAAAATAAAAAAAAGTAATAGAATTGTAGGAATTCAATAATTATTAAAATACTAATCAAAATAAATAATTAGAACATTATTTCCTCAAATATACTGTGTGTGCACTATAAAATAATTATTGTATGTAATTCATAATAAATAATAAAATTCTTTTACGCAATTTCTTATCTAATTTTTTTACTATAAATAATTTCTAAATAATTACAGTGATGGTAAAAAAGGTAATGTATTTAAACTTAAATACTTAGTGCATGATAATATTTTCGTTGCGGTAATAATAAATTAATTTTTAAAAATATTTAAAGTGAATGTTATAAATTCTAATTTTTAATAAATGTGATGTTAATTCGACTACCTAATCCTTTAAATGTTGGAAAATATTTTATTTTCAGCAGCTTATTTTTTTTTTTGTTTTTTTTTTTGTTTTTTTTTTTTTGTTTTTTTATTAAAATAGGGTCATCAGTAGTAATATCCCAAGCATAGCGATAATTCGAAATAATTTTTTTTCACTTACCGAAAGCACATTTGCTTGGTAACTATGATTCTATGGTAAACGTTACCTTAAGAAACGTATATGAGTATTTATCACTGGCATATTTTAACTCGTAAGTAACTTACTAGTTACAGTCCATAAAGTCTTGACTGCACATTCCATAAAGTGTTGACTGTATATTTTTTAAGTCAGTATCATCTTTTTCTCATATTTACTGCCCAATCCTTTAGTATCAAAGTTAGGTTTTAAATTAAATACTTGCATTTACATCTAACTCATATTTCTAATTTCATAAAATTCTATAGTTTCCATATATTTGTATTTTTACTGTTAACGGTATTTATTGGTGTTTTTTTCGGTTAAATTTATCAACATTTTGATTATTAATTTTACTAAATCGAGATATTGGAAGGTGTCAAAATTTTGACTTTTTAGAAGTGTCATACATATGGGGTACACTAGATTAACGTTCGTGTTAAATACTGATTGATAATGAAATGAGCAAAAGGTCAAAAATCATAAATTACTGTCTCTGCTGTGAAACTTTTTAATAAATAATTAATAAAATAGTTTTTAGATGAAACGTCTAATTTTGAGTTTTATCGTTTAGCGGAATAAAAAATAAAGGTAATAGTTCATACATAATGGTTTGTTTAATGCAAACTTGATTTAAGGTAGTTCACTCGCGACAGTCGTATATAAAAATATCGCATAATGGTGAATATCAAAAGTTCAAGATTCTCAATGCTAAACAATTTTATTTTTGTAAGAGACTGTACACAACACATAGTAAGCTTATATATGGATATGTGATAATTGCAAGTAAAATGCATCCGGCAACGTCGCAAATATATGAATGGTGGGCTATAGAAATTTGTGATTTCCTCATACTAATTTTAAGGGTTTGTTTTGGTTCAAACAGAACCGCTGATTCCAGTTCTCAAATATAGTGGACGAATTCATTTTTCAAGAACACATCGCGAGGTTATAACAACCTCTTAGCTGATCGAGTGTTATTGTGTTACCACGCGTTAAGTGTAGCGATTACAATTTTGCCAAGTTGTAATCATTTTGGGCAACTACGCGTCGACTGCTTTAAAAATCTATATCTTTTTACCGAGACGGTCAAAAAATTCAGCGTTTTTTTTAGAAAATTTTATAACTTCTTGATTTACATTAGTTTTTAAAAAATATGGTAAGAACCGTTTTCGAGATATCTTGAAATAAATGCATTGCTTGTGTACATGACAGGCTTCAAGAGGGTTAATTATGCACATTGTTTGTTAATAACTCGTTTCACAGACTGTCAAAAAATCATTTCTTTTTTAGTTACGTAAAAGGCACTTTCATTATCCTTATATTTCAATTTTATTGAATTCTTAAGAAAAACCGTTTTACGAGTGAACTACCTAGGGAACTTATCAGTGTAAGTCAGAGCTTATTGGATATATCTGAAAACGATTTTAATTGATGCCAGAAATTTTCAAAGTAATAGATATGTTTTGGTGTTTGGTACTGATTTTAAATTTATGCGAGTTATAATTCTAAAAACGTTATTTTAAAATGCTTTCATGTATTTAAATACATAATAAAATGCATGGTGCATTAAATTGATATTGTTAAGATATTTCTAGAAAAATTGATTAAAAGCGAAAAGTGATATTTTGCCGCTTTAGACAGAAAGTTCTTCGCGCGACGTGTAGCTGTCGAAAACAACAACGAACTTTTTGCTCAAAGTGCACACAAGATTTTTTCTACGATCACACTATTTTGAAATAGATATAAAATCTGAAAATTTGTCCTATAATCTATTGCCTACATTTACCTTAATCATGAAAAAAGAAGTTGATATTCAAAGTCAATGTTAACTTGGATAATAAAACAAAAAACATGTAAATAACGTACACATAACTTTAGTTCGCGGAAAACATCAACTTTGCGGTTAAATTTCGAAGACTAAAATCCTACTTTGGATATTGATCGTAGAAGAAAAAAATCGTTTTTATATGCAGTATCGGTTATTGAATTCTTTCCAATAATACACTTTGCTAATCAAACTGAAAACTACAGAGTTAGAATTAGGGCGAGTAGGAAACGAATAATATCAAAACAAGCACACCGCGAGATATATCATCACGTAACTGGCTGGCTACGTTGATATTTGTCGTTTCCTGCTCGCCCTCATGTTAAAACTGTTGTTTTCACTTGGACATTAGTAAAGCGTATTGGAAAACATTCGGTAACCGACACTGCATACAGATTTTAAAATAATAGTATAAAAGTAAAGTGGTTTGTCATGTTGATTGTGTGTGTAAGAATTTTATTTACTTTGTTGCATGCCATATGTATTGTAATAAGACTTACAAGTATACAACTGGAAGCTGGTGTCGGTAGTGCTAATAGCAATTAGTTATTTAAAAATAAGAGATTTCATAAAAATAAATCAAATATTGAGGAATGTATTTTCTTCATAACAAGATGTAAAATGTGGGCTGGTCTGTCCATTAAAACAAGATATATTACTAAACAGGAAAGGTTTAATTTAATAATATATTGAGTATGCGTCTAAACTTTAGGTACTCAATTTTAAGACAAAAAATCATATAAATGTAGGTCCTAAACAGTATCAAGTTGTACTTTTGTACAATTTGTATTGCATAAAAAGGAGTCTTTTTAACCTTTTTAGGACAGATAACGGAGTTATTGTTTCATATTTATCTTTGAGGATGGTTAAGGAATTCGATGAAAAAATAATATCCAGAATCTTCATGACAATCTTTATTAAAAATGTGAATGTGTCTCCTGTCATTATTGTGACTGTTAACATTAAGTAGTGGTACCAACCTAATATTCCAATGTGTAATAATAAATTGCTAGCAACTATTACTATAATGTGTAACATCCCCCTTATTGTAAAAGTATATACCCCTAAGGTTTACATAAACTTAACAGCTAACCAGTAATAAGTATTAATCGTTAAATCTAGCTGGTCTGTGTACAATACGACCAAACTTTGTGACAACCCTTTCATTTACTTCAACTTGATTTTGTTGTTTGCTTTGTCCAGATTGTCATTACCACTTTGTTGTTCATTAACGCTACAACTACAACTGTTATTATTTTCACCTGTATTAGTAACCTGTTCTTTATTAAAATTTAAAAAGTATTTAATACTCTTTGCATTTGTGTCATTTTATTAGAGGGTTTAAGAAAAGAAGTATTTCTCCTAAGTGCTTTTATTTTCACTTTGCACTATTATTGATCTAGATGCTTGATGAGTACCCACTATTTTTCCTCTTTACCAGAAATCTTTTATTTTCAGTAAGACATTGTCACCTTTTTTAAAAACAGACCCATTTTTTGCGGTTTTGTCGTAATTTTGTTTGATCATATTTTGTTTCTCGCCGCTTTTTGTCATAAACATTAGTAACTCTGTAACAACAGGTAGCACAGTTCTTAATAATCTATTTAAAATTTCAGAGGGTGACTTGTTAATGTCATATAAAGGTTTTCTGTATGCTAATAAACAATATTCATCCTCATTTTCACATTTCTGCAACATTTGTTTACATATATTATTCCCACGGCTTTTTCAGCTAGGCCATTGCTTATAGGATATCTAGGACTTGAAAATATAATTTCTATCTCATAATCTTTGCAGAATTGTCTGAAAATGTTGCTATTACAGGGAACATTCGTCTGACAATTTTTTTTGTGATAGCCCAAAAACAGAATTTTCAGGCATTGTAAAATATCTTGCATTGATTTACTTTTAAATTTATGCAACTCTATCCAATTGCTATATAAATCTAATAGTACTAGATATGATTGACCTCCATAGTCCAATAAGTCTGATGCTAAAACTTCAAAAGGACGTTTAGGTATCTCATGTTTGTAACAACGGCTCCTTAACATTATTTCTGCTGAGCTTTTCACACACTCTACAGTTTGCAACAAACCTCTTCTTATCTATAGTCATACCTGGCCAATAGAACAACTTATTGGCCCTATTTTTAGTTTTTTCTATACCAACATGTATTTTATGTAGCTGTTATAAGATGTGGTATCACAACTCTTTGGGAATACAAATTCGATTATTCTACTACTGTCAGGCCAACCTTGCACACTATTCTTTTATTATCCTAAAACTATTATGCGATTTTGTTTTACCTTTTATGTCCTCTATTCGTCCATTTGATATCGGATACTCAACTTTTAAGCAATGTACAACTTCTAACATTTTTAGGTCGTCAATATTATTTTTAATATATGACCGACTGAGTAAATCTGCAATGTACATTCTATAACCTGGTAAATAAGTATTCAATGATAAAATTATATTTTAAAACTTTTAACTTCATTCTTTGTAACCTACTAGAAATTCCATTCATTTGAACAATCCCTATTAATGGCTTGTGATCTGACTGTAAACAAATTGATGAAATTTATGTGTGTAACATATTGCTAAATACTCTTTCAATCTAAGCATATCATTTCTCTGATTCTGACAGACTACGTGAACAAAAGGCAATTGGTTGTCCTGATTGCATTAGA